CTGCAGCTGTCCCAAAGTCTTCCTGCTGTAGGTTGTCCCTTTGTCCCAGAGCACTCACCCTAACAGGGAAGTCCCTCATTTCTTCATTAACTTCCAGGTTGCTCCCTGCCCATTAACGCTGAGCTGGAGAAGCAGGGTTCACAGGACCTTACAACAGGGACCAGGAACAGCAGCTTGGAGATTCAGGCCTTCTTTGGCTTCCTTGACCCTCCTGTCCCAGGGCCAGCATCAGGGAGGGAGGAAGAGGACAGGGATGGATGACTCCTCTGACAACCACACGGGGTAAGGCCAGGCTCACGGTCACACAGTGGCTGAGCCAGAAGACCAGTGTTTTTGCTTTTCTAATAATGGCTCCATCTATACAAAATTTTGGGCAGGAAGGGCAATGCATCTATCAGAACTCACTGGTGACAGGCGCAGCAACTGCACCTACTGCATAGGATTCACTTAAGGATTAAAGAAGCTGATCAATATCAAGTGATTAAAATCCTACCTGGCACGTCTGTAACAAGGATTCTACATGCTAGATATTATTATTGTTGCTGTTAAGCCTCATGAAGGCAGGAGTCTTTGTCTATGTTGGTTACTGATCTGTGTTAGAACAGTGCCTGGTACTTAATAGGTGCTCTATAAACAGTTGTTGGGTGGGTGAATCTATTTCTTTCAAGATAAAACTCTTTTGCAATGCAGCTATTCATCTTGGCCAGCAGAGGGCAGCAAATAGCTGTGACTGATTAATTGTGGGCAAGGGTGGTTTTAATTTTCAAGGCTAACAGAACTGTCCGTCCTGAGTCAGTTAGGGAAATAAAAGGTTGCCATGCACCTGTACGACTGGTCCTGACCCCTCCCACTTACCTTTGTGTAGGTTAGAATGATTATCAGGCATTCAACTCACAAAAAATCTTGGTTCCATTTCTTCTCAATTTATTTTCAATTTCCTTCCTTCCTCCCTCCCTTCCACTATCCCTGCTTTTCCTCCTTTCTCCGTTTTCTCTAATCATATTTCCCACTGCCCCTACACTCACTCCTCTGCATCAAGCTAGTATATTGTACACACTCCCAAACTTGATCTGTACAACTGCAGCTTGTACTGCAAACCATGACATCTAGAGTGGATCCTTACACAGTATTCTTCCCAACCAATGAATGCTGCTAAACCTAGTGTAATTTTTTTTTAAAAAACATGTAATTTGATAACTCTAGACCCAGCGAGGTACTATAGCTTGGCCAAGAACACACAGCAATTATGGGTAACATCAGAGTCCCAGCCAAGGCCTTCTGCTGTCCATTATACAACCTCATCACACACGTTCTCTTTTGCCAACAGGAGGCTCATGAGGTCCCTGTTTGTCATCCAGTCAATACAGCCATCAGCTTCTGGCCCCAGACACCTTTCCTCTGCACTGTGGTACAGAGGAGCAGACTGCTTTGGAGGGCAGCTCCCTGGGAGCTCCAGGGGACCCTGGCCAGGCGGCCACTGCCACTGACTTCTTCCTCGGCTCACTGAGCCCCTGCCTGCAGCTCTCGTGTTTCCTCTGTGCTGCAGTGAAAGCTCATCTTCCCCCGATGGCACATTTCTTTGTCACAGACAGGACCCTCACTGGCAGTCGGAGATGAGTTCTTGGGGAGCTTCTGGGTCTTGTTGGAGCCTTCTGGCACCACGTGTGGATGGGGATGGCTCCGACACCCAAGCCTCACCACTGCTCCGGGGGTCGCCCAGTGACATGATCTCCCAGCTTGCTAGATCCTTTCCTTCTCAATTATGATCCAAAAAATCATGCTAGGATAACCGTCTGGAAAAAATGTTTAATTGATCTTCCAGCTGGGAAACAAATTCTATATGAACTGATGAGTTTTTAAAAAAAACTAGAAAGGGGAATTTTTAAAACTAGAAAAAATATGGGTGACCTGTTATCTTAGGGGATATTTCTTTAAGCATGAAAGCAAAACTAGAAACTATAAAAAAAAAAGTACAGGTTGACTACATAGAAATTAAAAAGCTCTATATCCTGGTAAACATCCAAATCAAAATAAAAGCTAGTGACAAATGGAGAAAAGTTGAGCCACCCATGTAACAGGCAAAGGACAAATATACTAAATCAGACTCTCAAGAAAATGGTAAAGAATCTGAACTGACAACCTAAAAATATCAAGTCATAGGCACATGAAACATGCTCACTGTTACTGGTAGTGAAGTAAATGTAAAATTCAACTTCTGCATCTTGAAGTTGCAAATTTCAAACTTACATAGTGTCAGTGAGGATGAAGGGCCACAGGCTCTCTCATTCTGCTGTTGGCACACTTCTGGAGGGCTCTGTATGCTTACAGGTGTCCATGATAAATGCTTTTCTGTGTAGCCTTCATTGCTATCACTGTACTACCTATTACCTCCTCCCTCCTGCCTTCCTTTACCACATCAATACACTTTACGATGATAGGGACATTGTTTACTGATCTGCCCAAATGCTTAGAATAGCACCTGGCCCGGCTGGGCACAGTGGCTCATGCCTGTAATCCCAGCACTTTGGGAGGCTGAGGTGGGCAAATCACAAGGTCAGGAGTTCGAGACCAGCCTGGCCAACATGGTGAAACCCCATCTCTACTAAAAACAAAAAATTAGCTGGGCATGGTGGCAGATGCCTGTAATCCCAGGCAGATGCCTCCCAACTACTCAGGAGGCTGAAGCAGGAGAATCACTTGAACCCAGGAGGTGGAGGTTGTGGTTAGCCTAGGTTGCGCCACTGCACTCCAGCCTGGGTGACAGAGCGAAACTCCGTCTCAGGAAAAAAAAAAAAAAAAAAAAGTAGCACCTGGCCCCAAATTAGATGTTCAACATATTGAATGAATAATTGATCTTTAACCCAGTAGCTCTTAGGGATTGATACTAGGCAATAATCAGTGATGTACAAAAAAGATTTATACCCAAGGATGCTCATTTCAACATATATTGTGATAGTCAAACTTTGCAAACCACTGAAATGTCCAGTAAAAATTATGAACCATCCTTATTAGAGACTATAATAGTAAAGTCATTAAAATCATGTTATAGCAGACAACATAATAACATAGAAAGATTTCCTAGATATATTGTGAAAAGGGCAGGTTATATAACTGTCCAGAAATTTATTTTCTATGTCTAATACAATCTTAATTTATATAAATCTGCATATACATGAAAAAACTTGTGTAAGAACATACTGACATTTTAACAGTATTTCTCTGGATAGAGTAATTGTAAAACGTTTACATGTTTTTCCTTACTCTTTCATGTATTTTTGCAGAGTTTCTGCAATAGGACCATTCTGTTTTTGAGACTAGATTAAAAACAATGTAGCAGAGGTGATGGGTGCCTCACCCATATTCCTCAAGCTGGCCCTAGTTCCAAGTAGCTAAGAGCCTGGGGGTGGCCCTCTACCTACAAAGCATGGGAGTGAGTGGCTCTCTCTCACAGCTTCCTCTGCCCCAGGGGACAACTCTGCAGCGTGTTCCTCACAACTTGGCAGAGCCCCTGGCAGTGCCCCTTGGTGGCTGTTCCTTGCATTCCCTTCTTCTCAGCCTCACTTCTCCATGCCACCTCAGTGCTTCCTGGAATCCCCTTTCAAGCCAGCTACTTGCACACAAATCCTTGTCCCAGAGTTTGCTTTTAGGAGGAGCCCAGGCTAAAAGGCACAAATGCTGTTTTAAAAATCCTGCCCACTCCGTGTAAAGAAAGTTAGCCAAGCACAGTGCTATAGAAAGAACTCCTGTCTGGGCTGTTTCTGTGTGTCATTCACTTTCAATCTCTCAGCATCCCTGAGTTGAAGAGAGATCTTGCTTAACTGGGAGGGAAGGCCAAAGGGTTTCTGGATACAGGAGCCACCTTGGGGAGCTTAGAGCCTCAGAAGAGGCAAGGATGTAAGTTATATGCAGGGGCTGTCCAAATAATAAATGAGATTAATAAACCACCCCTGCGATGCCAGCACATGGCTCACCGCAGATCTGCCTCAGGCGTCTACCATTGCTATAGGATGCCATGAACACCTACTCTCCCTTATGAGGCTTAGAATCAGGGCTGCTGAGAACTTCATCAATCATCTCATTCAGGTGAGGTAGAGGAGGCGGGTAGCTTCCGTGAGGGTCCCAGAGCAAGAGTTAGAGACAGAGCCAGGACCAGAACTTACTGAAAAGCTATATAATCCAAGGTCTGACTTGGGTTCTGAGGATTTGCTCAGTGATAGATGACATTCTCGATTTGGCCTGAAGAGGGCAGACACTTGCCATTCATGGAAGTGAAGAGCTTGTTTTTAAGGCCGGACTAACATCTCCCAATAAGGTCATTTGGTTCTAGTGAGAGTTACATCTCACAACATTCTTGACTCTTCTGCTGTAAATATGCTACTGGAAAGACACTGAAGTTCAGAGACTGAAGTTCCTTTAGTTCCAACTCTGGCACTGTAATAGGTGACCTTGCACACTTCACCTCTCTGAGTCTCACTTCTTTACTCATGAAGTAAGATCTCTACTCTGTGACTGAGAAGGTGGTATTGGGGGGAAATACGTAACTTACAAAGTTACATATTACAACACACATCACTGCTGTTAAATTCTGTGTGTGTGCGTGTGTCTGTGTGCGCATGTGCACACACATGGAGAGAGCTTGACGAAGGAGAGAGGCCTAGGCCAAAGGAGGTTTTTCTGGCCTCAGGTGAATATATATTTGTAAATTCTTTAGCAATTGGAACCAATCCACTTTGTACTTGGAAAAGACTTAACTGCTTTTCCTTATATTTCAAACTCTACTTTTTTAAAAGCTAAAGATGTCCCTTAACCTAACTGGTGTATGAGGAAAAAATACATAACAGGGATATATGTAAATTTCTACCCTTAAGTCAAAAATATTGCTGAATACAGAGAAGGTATTGATAATATTAATTTTTAAAACTAAGTATTTTAGTGGTTACTTGGTCATGAGAATCAAAAAAGTAAGAAGTGTTTTTTAAAATCCTGTACCATTTTCCTAGAACATCAAGCCCTAGTACAGGAAGGGACATTTTCACACTAATCTGTGCCAGCTGGAGCAGTCCTGCCATCTGAACGTCACATTTTGGAACAATTGGGAAGCTAGGATGCAGTTAACAGGTAAGTAGTAATGGGAGAACTTTCTAGAAACCATGTCTGGAGGAGGGGTTCGGGAGCTGAGATTCTGAGCCTGGGGAAGGGAAGACTTGAGTGGGGCAGGCCCTACAAAAAGGGGTTCCATCAATCCAAATAAGTACAAGTCACAAAGGAAAGGTCTGGTCTCAATAGCAAAGGTCATTCTTGGCATTCTTCCCTGAGAGATCAGTGTGTTGTCACAGGAGACAGCAAGCTCTGAACACTTCAAGACATACTTAGAAGGCCCATCGATGTCAGCAGAAAAGGGGTTGCTAATGTCATCTCAGAAACCAAGTTATCCTCATACAATAAAATCAATCACGTATCAAAATGTGATGGAGAGCGAGCCTGCAGCAGTCAGATGGTTCCCAGAGCACTACAGGATAAAAATGGCCTTGAAATACAGAAGACAAAGTACAGGATCATGAATGTCTGGATGCACCAGCAAGTTGAGCCTGACCAACTGCACTGACATCCTGATGAGTCAGCTTGAATCAAGAAGATGGGTCCCAAATAATTCAGGGTCACGCCTCAGAGAGAGATGGGGATTAGTCAAGTATGTTCACTCTCTCACCAATTCTCCCTGATTGAGTTCCCACACTATGCTAGGCACTTTTTAGGGAGCTGTGTATATTTTCTTTGGAGGCACAGGGTTAGGACATTATCTTCTCCAAGGATACCAATTTATCTTTGTATTTATTCCTTGTCTACCAAAAACCTTCTATTTCCTCTTTTAGCCTCCATGGTTACCTGAAAATAGGAAGGGAGGAAGTCTACGATGCTGGAGCCACAAGATATGTACGTTCTTTACTGTAAAAGATCACACCAGCCTTTGGAAGCCTGATTCAATTTGAAAGAGTAGATAAAATATAGTTTCTAGACCTGCCAAGGTGAGGATGAGACCAAAGACTAGGGCGTGGCCACTACCATGTGAACACTGGGAGGTCCTCCAACCTCCCCTGACATTTCTCTTGAACTTCTCAAAGTTACCTGCTGGGACCCCAGGGGTGTGAGTTCCAAGGGCCCCATCAGCTCTGAGATTATACGCTGAACTCAGGCATCAGAATTGTTAGACAGCTTTATCTCAGTTCTGAGAAATGGTTAAAACCACCCTCGGCAGTCACACGTGGAACCACTTATTTCATTACTGTGGACATTTTCTTGTAGGAATAATATATAGTGAAAATCCATTGGGATAACCAACATAAAACTGATTTTGTTTTCTATTTGATATAGCAATTGCATTTTATTTGTTTGTTGTATGTATTCGTAAACTTATTTTTAAAAAACAGACCTGGAAAATTTTATACTTTTTTCCTATAATATCTTTTAAAGCTGCTTGAAAATTGTTTATTATGACAATATATAAAACTAGTTTACATGGCCAATAATATATTTTGTCTCTAGGTTGATGGACCTTAATAAAAGCAGTTTCTCACCTCTGGAGTTCCACTTCTCTTTCCACTGATTGAAATGGGTTGCATCCAACCTGCATTCTTGAAACTGAGACTTCTTTAGTGAAACTCCAACATCTACCACACATTGGTGGAGAAGGCAGAATAGCCAGGGGACATACTGCAACCCCCCCTCCTTTGGACAAGTTTCTCCTCCACTGTCCATTTGTTATTTCTCTCCTATCTCAGGATGAAAGTGTCCTTTCACTCCTTCGATGCTAACTCATCAACTTGTACTCTTGGTTCCAAAACTCTGATTTTGCTTGTGGCTTATATTAGCTCCTCATTGTCTTTCCTTCATGGCTGGATCTCACTCTTCAGGTTTACAAACTTAGTTCACTTCTCTGCAGACTAAAAAACACAAGCCTCCACTTCATTCTGGCTCCTCTCAGAGCAACCATTCTACCTCCTTCCTTCCCATCACAATTGCCCATTGACTCTGCTCCACTTCTCTGTCTACCTTCTGCCCTTGCCACTTAAGAAGGTCACACAAATCCAAACCACCAAATCCAAGAGACTTGGATCCTTAAATGCTGCTGAACCTCTCAGGACATCTAACATTGTTTTTACTTCTTTTTTCCTTGTGAATCTGGTTCTTTCTTTGAAACCCCACATTTCTCTGATTTATCTACCTTATCTGCTTCCCCTTTCCTATCGAATATAGCCATGTCTGGCTCCCTACTGTTGGTGGGCATCTGCTTGATGTTTTGCTGCTCTGCCCAGTTGCCCTTCTCCTTCTCAATGGTGGTGGCTGCCCAATCTGCTGGACCCCTCAGTTCTAATTGTTAGCTCATCGTTTCCTCAAAGAGATGGCTTTTAAAACCCAGCCCAGACAAACCCAAACTCGTCATCTTGGCCACTGTGCTAGATCTTTCCTGATTGTTTGCCCAGTTCAAAATGGATTCTCCATTCTTTGGAGATGGACACCAATCTATAGCATGGGCCCCAAGCAGCCATTTGACCTGATTTCCTGGTCACAGGTGACTGGCACAGGGACAGCCACCTGCCTAAGGCTCCTAGTTTTTAAGTGAGAGAGACAAGAACTGGATAAAGACTCAGCAGTGAATGGTACTGCTCTGTGAGAGAAAGGTGCATGGATTCCTGGTGCTACGGGCCCTTTGAGCTGCCCCACTTCCCATCTTCCTGGTTAATTTAACTCTTCCACGGATCTTTCATATATGCTAGGAAAGTTCTAGTAGAGTCTCTCTTTTAGCTAAGCTTGCTAGAGTGGGCTCCTACTTAGAGAACTTTAAGCAGTGGATCCACTGACACTCGTCATCCGAGAATCTCTCTTTCAGTCCGAAACCCCACCATTCCCTTCCCCAGCGACGGCCTGAAATTTGACTCTGATCTTACTTTCTGTGCAACCTGCATCCAGAACATTGAAACCTTGTGCATTTTATCTCCAAAATAATCCTCTCCTCCACGTCCTCTGCTACTGTCCTGGTTCCAGTCTCTGTGATCTCTTTTCTGGGCTTGTCCAGCCTCTGCAGGCTCCAGTGATCATTCTGATCATATCACTTCTCTGCCTAATATCTGAGGCTAAGTCTTGTAACTCTTACCGCAGCATTAAAAACCCTTCTCCATCTGGCTCACAGGTGCACAGGGCTCATCATCTGCTATTTCCATTCCTATGTGCCAGACAGGCCTGATCTCCAACCTTATCCAAACCTTGTCCATGCTTTGCATCTTCTGTGATTTTTGTACTGCTGATCCCTTTGCCCTTTGGCTCTGGTGAAATCTTTCTTCTTTAAGGCCTCTCTCAGGTCCTTTTCCTAACCCAGGGGATACAGAAACATTCCCTCCGTCTTCTGGGACAAGAGTTCCCTGCTAGACTGGGAGGCACAGCTCCCTTTGATTCCTGGCACTGCAGTGGTTGATTGGTAAATGGATATTGAGTGTACAGGATCGTACACCACCCAGTGTCCACCAGATTAGGAAAAGGTCTAGAGAGAATAGCCAAAGTCAAAGTATTTTCTGCTGTCACTGCTTACCATGCTGTAAGCCAAAGTCAGGAAAAGCAAGGCTAGGGGTGCTGAGTGGTGAATTACATGGACTGTACCCCAGACCTCCAGACCTCAGCATCTGAAAAACAAGTTACTCATAAAACTGGTTTTAGACTCCAGGAAAAACACATTTATGTGGCTTGTTGTTCATAAAACACTTCCATATACATGAACTGACTGAAATGTTCACTGTGACCCCAGTAAGCAGTTAAAGTTTATGAATAAAAATGAGGAAATAGCCAGGTCAGATTTAAATCACAGACCTTCGACAGGAAACAGTGTTCCTTCTCTCCGCTACCTCCAGTGCAAGTGTTAACATACAATGAAAAGGCTACTGGGGAAAGTCTGAATAGGGCAGGAGACGGCTCTGCTTCTAAAGCATGTGATGTTTTCCCCACCTTTGTTGTCACACATATGAGCATCCATTGCCAGTCTAGGGAGGTTAACCACACAGGACAGAAAATGTCACCCTTTCCCCAGGAATAGATATTATCCCAAAACACTTTCATTTGATGATAAAGTCTATTGGTTTTTCAGAAACCTATTTTCCCAATCAACAACCCACCCCTAGGTTCAATGTGGAAAATAATCTGCATGCATGTGTATGAGTTTGAGCAGGAGGGGGTATGCATGTACACATATGCATAGACATACAGGTTTATTTAAATGATTGGATCTACACTTTTGGAGGCTATTTGAAGTATCTTATCAAAATAAAACGCGTTTTAAGCAAGAGGTTAAAAAAGCTTTTCAGACCCAAAGGTCATTTAATACAATAAATCCTACTTGAGTAGTTTAGCAAACATTTTTTAAAACCCACATCCAACAGATTGGTTAGTATTAGATATACAGATTTGGTTTCAAAGCTGAAATACCCCTGGTGGAATAGATCTTCTCATGAAATTCAGTTATTTTATATTATGCCACAAAACAGGGACACATACCTATTGACAACTTAAATATTAACGCAGTAGGCTACCTGGTGATATAAATAGGAAAAAAACAGTGGTCATGGATTAGGAGTGAGAAGACTATGACAGCAGCCTACCTTGGACTGGGACTGCAAAGAATGTTAAAATCTATCCTAGAATTTAAAACAGGAAAAATGTCAAATATTCCACTCCCCATTCGGCCCAAACCATCCCCCAAGGAATACACCCCCCGCCCTACCACATGAGGTTTACTAACCACCTGCTACAGATGTTACTATGTCACTAATTAACAATGATCACAGAAAATGTGTCATACCAGAGTTTTTGTTATCATACACAATGCATTAGTGGCTGCAGGAATCTTCCTCCAAAAGCTACCGTCAGAAGGCAAACTGACAAATGTCCGTGCCGCTGGTCCAAGAAACCACAGCTAAGAGCCACGAGGCAATCGTTTGTACATTGAGCTCTCTCTGGCATGCTCCCCGCTCTAGTTAGAGGGGCTGGGGTATGGAGAGACCGTCCCAGCCGGGCGCTGCAGCCTCCTACTCCTGGGCCTCCTTGCGGGTCAACTTGTAGATCTCAGTGGGTCCGTCCACATGGGTGATAGTGGTGGTGAGCTGGAGTTCTTCCCCACTGTGGACACCCAGATCACCTGAAACAGGGTTTTCTGTGTTAGATGTGTTCAAGGAGGAAGGAGAAGCAAGCTGGGTTTCATCTCATGGACAACTGCCCTGACGCTAGCCCTCTTTGACATTCTGAGCACACAGAGAAACCCAGGGCACACAACATTCAGAACAAGGGCTAACTCCAAACCTGTTCACGTGGGCTTTGCAGAACTTTTTAAAATATCATTTTCGGCTCCCAGATGACAGTCATGAAGATACATGAGTCAGCTCACTGCTGATATTATTCATAGTAATCATTAATATTTAATGAGCATTTACTTTGTGCCTGACGCTATTCTAATCACTTTGTAAGTGATCTTCTTTAATCCTCGCAGAAACCCTCTGAAGTAGGCAGTATGAACGTGCCAGCCTTACAGATGAGGAAGCTGGGAGGCAGGCAAGGTAATTGTCCTGGGTTGAGGAGTAGGCTCACAAAAGAGCTGGCAAAGGAGTGTCTGATGCCAAGACTGATGTGATGGGCTAAACCAACATAACACACCTCCCAACGGATGGGTCCGTCAGGCACCAACACATTTGCTGTGAATGATTTACTACAAAACAGGAGCCAGATGCAGTGGCTCAGGCCTGCAATCTCAGCTACTTGAGAAGCAGGGGTAGGAGGACTGCTTGAGGCCAGGAGTTTAAGATCATCCTCGGCAACAGAGCGAGACCCTGCCTCTAAAAAAATTTTTGTTTTAATTATCTGGGTGCAGTAACTCACACTTGTAACCTCAGCTACTCAGGAGGCTGAGGCAGGAGGATCACTCAAGCACAGGAATTCTAGGCTGCAGTGAGCTACGATTGCACCACTCACTCCAACCTGGGTGACAGAGTGAGACTTTGACTCTAAAATAATAAAAAATAAGCTACAAACACCTACATCACGTGAAGGCAAATAAGATCTGCTTATATCTATCCATAGATTGGGCAAGGAGCCATATCTAACACATCTAGGAACAATGCGAGGCTTTATTCTCCGGGAAAAAAAACAGTGCCAGAAATGTGCTGTGAATTTTCTTCTGCCCTCAGGATTGCCCTAAGTGTTCTGAACTCATTATCAGTGGACAGTGTACTGCTAAAATGGAATACTTTGAACTTTTCTAAATTAGGAGAAAAAAATTTCTCTCAGTGAAACCTCCAAAACTCTGCTACCTGCCGTAAGACAAGTGAACGTAAAAACCACAAAGGGAAAATGGAAATCACAACCACGCTCAGTCTGTGTGTGGGGGTGCATGTGTGCACAGATGTTTGTGGAGAGGGGTGCTGGGGAACAGAAAGTTAAACTTGTGTCCGTGATATTTATATTGTGCATGTATTATATGTATCATGTTTTCTGGGACTGAAGTTTTTCTAATTTAAAGCACAGAATTAAGTAACTAAATGCTGTTTTCCATTGAAATGCCACACCATAACTTAGAAGAAACCTTGGCCCTACACTTAGGACTAATAATCTTATCACTAATTTAAGAACTGCTGGGCATCAATGAAACAGAGCATCTGTAAGAGCTGTTGGCCTTAAGCCAGTCCTCCCCCCACTAGCCCAGCAGGCGCTCACTTGGCTGGTTCCCTTCCATGTTGCCACGTAGTACTAGTTTCTCATTGTAGACCCCTTTGCTCTGTGGCTGCACAGCCAAAATCAGTCTATTTTTTTTTTTTTTTTGAGACGGAGTGCAAGCTCATCCCCAGGCTGGAGTGCAGTGGGCGCGATCTCGGCTCACTGCCAGCTCCGCGATCCTCCTGGGTTCGCCATTCTCCTGCCTCAGCCTCCCAAGTAGCTGGGACTACGGCGCCTGCACGCGCCCGGCTAATTTTTTGTATTTTTAATAGAGACAGGGTTCACGAGGTCTTGAGTCGTCTCCTGACCTTAGACCACCACTTTCAGGCTTTCCCAAAGTCCTATTCACAAATGCCACCCTGTAAGCTCTCTACCCAGGAGATTCCTGGCCTCAAGCAGGCTCATTGGCTGCTACAGAGGACTACTGAAGCATTTGGGCTGTTTGCTTGAGGTCTAATCCACAGGACTATGGAAGAGATATTGTAACAGTTTTCACAGACCTATTTTTTTTTTTTTTTTTTTTGAGACGGAGTCTCGCTCTGTCCCCCAGGCTGGAGTGCAGTGGCGCGATCTCGGCTCACTGCCAGCTCCGTCTCCTGGGTTCATGCCATTCTCCTGCCTCAGCCTCCCAAGTAGCTGGGACTACAGGCGCCTGCCACCGCGCCCGGCTAATTTTTTGTATTTTTAATAGAGACAGGGTTTCACCGAGGTCTTGATCTCCTGACCTTGTGATCCACCCGCCTCGGCCTCCCAAAGTCCTATTATTAAATGCCACCCTGTAAGCTCTCTACCCAGGAGATTCCCTGGCCTCAGAAGCAGGCTCATTGGCTGCTACAGAGGACTGCTAAAGG